ATATAGACACTGATGATAAAATCAGTAATATTGTGTACAATGCAAGAAGTACTTGTCTATGAACTAAAAAACTATCAGCTCAAGCACGCTTAAAACTCATATATCTTCGTGTAAAGATGTAACTGGTTCTCCGATGTATACCATCAAGAATATGTTAATCACAGATAGACATGTGCATTTACATCTTAATAACTTATTATTTATTCATGTGGACAGAAAGTTACAGCAATAATTGATGTTTCATCATTTACGTCAGATCTGTTCTATTTTTTATTCGAATCCGGAAAAAAATTTATTCCAACTCTTTCTGAGCATTTGAAGAATTTCAAGATGATTGCTGTAACGGGTAGCCACTTGGAAAAACTTCTTTACATCTTGTTCATGTTTTACAATAACTTTTCATTATGATTTAAATGGAAGTTATCAATCAATTGCTCTTAAAAATAGTCAAGTAATAACATTTCTTGAGGAACGTTGGGTTTCGGGTTGCACTTGATTGGGTTAGGTCGAATACAGATTCGAGAAGTTGAACCCACACAGAACTCTAACCAATATTGCCTGAAAACAACATATCATGACAGAAATTCATTTGTAACAAAAGACATTCAGTTAGACTTTCATTTTCTAATACTTAATGAATAATGTTTGATTGATTTTCAATAGGATTTACTAGTTTTCTACTCATTGTGAAGAATGGTGATAGGATTTGAAAAAAAGAAGTTTTTTTGGCACACGATTCATTTTAAGTCCACATGCGTCAGCTGTATTTCTAAACTAATGCAGAGAGTGAGTGTATGAATAACATCCAAGACAACGAAGTAATTAAAAAATCATCATTGTATAATGTCACTCCACGTGTAGGAAAAGTGCTAAATTTTTATATTTCAGTTAAAGGTAATGACTTTCAAGGGTGCTTGTCAAGTTTGCTCGTATAAACAGAAACTCACTGTAGGAATCTTTCATTTAACAAAAACTTCGTTAACAAAGTTGAATTGAATAATAAAGATATGCGAAAAAACCTTTTGGGATACATTGTTTTAATGTCCTCATAAAGAGTCAGAGAGAATTAGATTTCTATTTTCTTATACAAATATTTTTATTATTAATCTTTGCCTTGTCTGAAAATGTTTACTGATTCAGATCTACCACTGACGAAATTTAAAAGTGATCAATTAACGGGTCAAGATACGATCAAACCGACTGATATACAAAATTATGTGATTTCTATGGCAACACTGATAATAAATACTCGGTTAGTCTTGGTAGAGAACTTTTATAGAAGAGGTTGGAAACGATATATAACAATCTCAACAATGTTGAAACATTTGCTGTTGTCTATACTACTAATCTGATTGTTTAATTGATGGAATAGAGACCATTTTTCGAAAAAAAGTAGATCGTCGTATCGAAATTAGTCAATAAATTGAGAATGGAAACAAGTAATGTGCATCTATTCTGTCGTTGATCCTTTTTGTGAAAGTAAGATTTATGTATTTTGTAAATTGGAAACGAATACCTGGGAATGGCACTAAGTTTCCACAGCTTCAATACTTGGCGATGAAGTGTTACATGATCCACGCAGACAATGGCGTGAAACCATCTACCGAAGCATGCATTGTGACCCGAGCGATATCGAACAATACAGTAAAGGCGACTACATTCGTAAATATGACTTTTCTCTTGACTTATCACAAGGAGAAGACAATTAAGAGTTTCACTTCACATAAATGCAAAGACGGAGAAGTAAAAAATATTCGATAAGATCAAAATGAGAAAACCTTGACGAGAATTCAACTTATCAATGTATGAGATCTTTTTGAAGGTTGTACAACATTCGAAAAATTATCCTTATGCATGCATGTTTATTGTTGTTGTTTCTTCTGGTTGTATGAATCGAAATGTAACTCTTTGTGTGGAAAACATATTGCGACATCAGAATAAAAATAAGAGATGAATGATAAAAGTATTGTGTGTGTAGTTCCTGAGATTGTGCATCAATCTACAAAGGACCAATCAAGATTTGGTACCCACTTTTTCACTCTATGAATGTTGATATGGACGAAAAGGAAAAGACAGTTACTCACACCTATATTCATACTCACATTTCCAAAGAAAATGATTTGAAAAGTAGCGCAAACCACTGGTGCGTTTCTCTTCCATTTCTTTTTCTATGATTTACTGACACTTTTGGATACTTTTTAAACTTTATTTCATATTTCGTCTTTGAGTCACAATAACATGTCAAATAAAACGAGAACAACTTAATATTAAATAAAGATCAAGTGCATCACAATGTAACAATGAAACGAGGAGTACTCTCACAAAGATTATATCAATAGTTGTGTGCTTTTTCTTTCTTTTGAATGGGTAAATGTATAATATTTTCGAGGACTAGCGTATTGAAAATAACAATTGATAGAATGAAATGAAGCAAATATCAATCAATAGATAAAGAAAAAACTGTTCGAATATATTCACTCATTGTTTTTGTCAGATCGAAAATATTTGAAGAACCATACGAATGGCTCGGATTGTAGGAAGAAAATTGCTTTTTCTTTCTTATTGTAAATTCACAAATCTTCAAAGTTCGACATCTAATTTCTTAATACTAGATGATTATTATTGTAAAGTTTTATAGAAAAACATTGAAAGAGTGATGCTAAATAAGTTTATAGTAAAAAATTAATTAAATATCTATAATATAATTATTTATATCATTGTTTTTTAACTTTGGCATGTAACCTACAAAGTTACGAACACACTTCTTATTCTCTTTCAAAACAGTGATTGTTCATAGTTTTAAATAATAAGACTTGCTCTCGTTTTTGATATATGACGTATAATGAAAAAAGACACATAAAATGCGAAAAGAAGAGCAAGATCTATATCGTTGATAAAATGTAATTTCAAAATAAATGAAAAAAATTAATCAGAAAAACAAATGCATTATTAAAAATTTTGTTTGAAAGTACCTACTAAGCAATATATTTCTTGCATTTACAATGGGCCTTCGAAGATCCCTCATTAAATAAATATTGTAGCATCTTAATCGTTTTCGAAGTATGCTTGCAATGTAGCTAAATAAATAAAAAACATGTCTTTTTTTTTATAGCTTCTAATTGAGACAAATATATTGAGTTATTCACAATTAATTCTTTTCGTTCATTTTATTCAATCAAATAAAAAACAGAATCCTCAATATCTCGTGAGGGAATAATAGCGATAATGAATCAATATTTTTTTTTCAAGTCTAAGTTCGTTCGATTATTATTGTTCATATCCAATGTCTTACTTATTAGACAACTGTTGTGTAAGATTGGAATAACAAGAAGTTTACTATTCACCATTCTGTTGAATGTCTGAATTTTACAATGAAAGAAATTTAATTTTTAGTAGCTCTTCAAGCATTCAGTCTATTGTGTTGCTCATCAGTTTGCATCGAAAAGGACACAATATGTTAATCAACTTCTGTCTGCTATCAAAAATAGCTTTCTGAAATCTATATTGATCATAAACTCAAATAGCATTTAACATTTCGAAGTGTTTCTCGATGAAATTAAAAAATATGAATATTGTTTCTCATTTAATTCAATCTTGTCGACCAAACTTGAAAATGAAACAAGAAGAAAATTGTAAACAATGGACAACTATTGATTTACACGTAATGCTGCTTGATTAATATGAAGATTGTTTCTTTGTAACAATTTTATTCATTAATTATTTGCATTCTAATATTAAATAATTCATTTGATTTTGTTCAACATAATAGAGATATTGAACAATTGTTTTAGTGGATTAATGAAAACAAAATAGAAACATCTGATCGATTTAATCGAATTTATGAAAGAATACTTTTATTTTCATGTATACCATCTTCTTCTTCACAACTAGAACCAACTTATGAATCGATTCGATTAACTATTTCATTTATTTATCTGCTCAACATCATCTTTTCAATTTGATGAGTTCTCGAAGCAAAATACTTTCGATATTCGACACAATATATTAATCGTAGCAAGAAAATATATCGTGGAACATAAAATTCATTTAACTGATGGACTGTTAATACGTATGTAAGTCTATTATTAATATTATTTTGTTTTATTTCTTCATTATTTTTAAAATATCAACCATAACTACATATTCAACTATTAAACTATTCAAAAATATTTTCCAGTTATATTTGTAGATTTTATTAGATATTTTCTATGAGAAGATTAATTTATGTATTTGACAAACTTTTCGTGCAATCTATTTTTTGAGAGTTTTAATATTAGTTTGAGTATTATATATTGTAATACCTTTTAAGCAGAACAAGCTGACATTATTAATGAAAAAACTTTTCATAAATCTAAACATATGATTGACACTGAAATTGACTGAAGATTGTGAAAGAAGATACAATAAATATATTTGAATATATGATTCATAGTCACTGAATCAGATAACTCACAATATCTGTCTTAGCGAAATATATATTTAATAGAAAAATAATTTTTTCTATCGCTTGTTGTGCTTATGAAACATCGTGCGTTTCGAAGGATGAATCTTTCCATTTTTGGAATGGTATTTTCACCTGCATCGTCTCTCCGGGTGTGGGTCTGCTTTAAATCCACATCTACATACATTTTTAACGAGTTTAGGAGTTCAAATAGATCCCTAATCTTCGTTTTAGGTTGCATTTCTCATTAGTAAAAATCAAATGGTATACTATATTGGTGCTTGAATATGATATGACTACATGTCTCACTTGAAATATTAAACAAAAATTGTTAAAATTTTTCTTCAGATCATGAATCTTGCGGTGAATTCTATCTTAAAAACACAGCTTTTTCAGCAATAGTTTTTATTTTTTTCGTAGTCAGCAGATAATAACCTTTTATCTTTTTCACTATTTTGAATAATTTAGATATTGAATATAGTCTAAAAAAGGATATCTTATTAAATTCATCATATCACAGCTATTACATTTACATAATGTTCTATTGATTATTGATGCCTTACCAATGGAAGCGACTTTTAATGAAAGGTAATATTAAAGATACAAATCCAGGAAGTACAGTTGTAGCAATGCCTGGAAGGTTTATTCTTTTTGTAAATAATGATGCGTATGGATCATAATGTTGAATGAACACTTTGAATGATACCAAGTCAACAGTTGTATTTCGATATTCGAGACTCATTTTTTGAAGCGCTGTTTTCTTCATTTCATCAATAATTTTATTTGTCAACCACATAATAGTAACCAGCGAACCATATGATAGAAAATGTGCTACACAATTTAAAATTGTACCTAACGTTATCGTTTGCTGCATTGTGACAACTTCATAAGCATAGGCAAATGACCAAGCTAGACAACAGCTAACATAAATACTTGCAAAGATGTTGGTATTTTTCAATGTTTGATTTTCTTTCCAATTTCTTTTCTTAGCCAACACATTTTCCGAGTAAATTTTTATTGCAGCTATTCCTGCTTCTACATCGTTGATATTTCCAGTGAACAATTGTCTGATTTTTTCATTTTCTTTTGCAAAACTGTTGTAAGTGCGTAGAACCCAACACAAAGTAAATAAAACAAGGAAAAAATTAAGAGCGTAACATGTAATTCGACTGATCGTCCGTGCCTTTTGCCATCCACTTGTTGTCATTGTTCCGTTACTAATTTCATCATATGTTTCTTTAAAATCGGCGACATTGTCTAATAAACTCGAAGAAAAAACTACTATCAAAGCTGCAAAATATTGCCAACGTGCAGAATTTGTCCAAATCCTAGAAATATGAAGCATCCACTTGTTTGTTTAAAATCACAAGTAATAGACAATGTATTAAAGCGAATTAAAAGTTATAATTTTCATTGAAATCATGGAAAATCATAATGTGAATCTGATAAGAATATAGTTTGTGCACTGTCTCGTGATCAGTATGGATCACCTTGTGATAAACATTATGAGAACACTGCAGTCCTTGTTGTTTTTGGTCAATTATAGATGTATACAATCGGTATTTTGACAATCTTAATTTAGTAGTTCTAATTAGATTGGTTCGTAAATGAAAACAAACAACGTCGATCGATTCAACATGGTCAAATATAAATTTCTCGATTCTTTTTAGAGTCATTAATCATTGTATAACTAGTTTCAATGATTCAAGGAAAATATGCAAGGCTCAAAAGTGGAGGAAGTGTGGACATTTGGCGTTTGTGTAGATTGAAATACTTTAATTTTATCTACAGAATATTTTTTCCTTTACATTCAAAATGAACTACGAAAGATGATGACCACAGCGTTATCAGAATCTTTATCATAAGCTGCTCAATACTGATCAATGATCAGTTCACACTTGTTAACAGACTGACATCTCTAACGTTTTCGTTCAAATAGTGAAAACTACAAGTTGATAACTAATTTTCTTTTTCGGTTTTACTTTCGGCAGGACGGTGACTAACCTTCTTGTATAGATATTCGTTAGCTTTTATATAAACTACACTTAGTCCAATATTTATCTTTATTTTCATCTCTCACCTTTTTAGATTTTGGAAAATACAACAGTATTTTGAAGTAAATCTTTCTGTTACAGTAGTATGATTGATGGAATGCGAAGAACTGTTTTCTTGAGTGGTACTATCATTTGACGTTTGACCTCGTTCATTTTTAATAAGTCTGTAAATCAAGTGAGCCGACGACAATGGAATGACAATATAGAACGCAGCTGATCCAATTAGAAAAACAATATAAGCGTCAATTTTGTATTCTGGAATTCGTGAATTTGTAATACCAATGAAAACTACCAGAAAAATACCGGTGATTGCAGCTAGAATTGACAGAATAATCCCAATGGCTCGACGCTAAAACACAAAATATTTCTCAAAAAGTGATCGTATCCGAATAGTCAGATGAATGTGCTTTATAGGGCTGCAGGTTACGCTATTTTGACAACTTGTAACCTGCCCTGCTCAGATTTTGACAACCTGACCCTGCCCTGCCCTGCCCTGTAAGTTTATTTCATAACCTTTAACCTGCTCTGCCCTGTTTTCTTTAAAACTAAAGAAAGTTCCAAACTTTCATATTAATTCATTATATAATTTCATTTCAATTTGTGACAACCATGAAGCAAAAAACAACAACATTATATATCTCGGAAATTTCTAATCATCAAAATATCATCAACAATACCTGAATTTAAAAACTATCTTCTTTTTTCTAATATTCGATCTGATGAACTAAAAACACACTCCGATATTGATATGCATCTTCTCTTCCCACCCACACCCTATCAAGAGTTTTCTTGTTTTTTAGTGTATTTGATTCATCTAAACAATTTTTAAAATGATAGCTACTAGTAGAAGTTCCATTTGATATGGAATATGATAATATCTCATAGCACAATCGACATTTTACAAACGGTGGATATTCATTATTTAAACGTTTAATACGTAATAAATGTTCCCAAAATGAACCATGAGATGATGACAGNGGGATGTGGCGAAGAGAAAAAAGTGGAGGGGAGGCGGCGGGGAGATGCTAGGGAAATTTTTTCAAAAGTTGATAATTTTATATTCAGGTATTTCCAACAGCTCTTAGTATTATGGTATCGTTTCTTTCTGCTATTACGTTATTAGGAATACCGAGTGAAGTCTATGTTAACGGAACTATGTATATTTATCAAGGTGAATTGTTTGTTTGTTTTTCTTTCAGTCTTGGCTTCAAAAATGGATATAGGGATAAGACCCACATCCTTTCGGAATTGTTTTAGATCATATGGATTTTCTCTAACCTAAAAAAAAGCGAATCACGCTTTCCCTTTTACATTCGTAAAAAGCAGATAATGAATCGCAAAACTGAATTGAATCTCACATCCAATGTTACTTATGTATTATTTAGTCGTTTATTTCAACTTTTTAAGCTATTTCATGTATACTAGCTTCAACAATAACGGCATTTGTATTCATGCCTAAATTTCGTGAAATGAAATGTACAAGTGCTTATGAAGTATCTTTGATATTTCTATCGTTTGATATCACAAAATAGAGTATCTAGTATTTAGAGAAGCGTTTTGATCGAAAAGTACGCATGTGTGCATCATTTGCATATTCATTCCTTATGGTAAATAATCTGTTGAGATGTATAATTTATTTTTCTATATAATTAGTTGATCTATATGGCAATTTTTCTATATGCTCCTGCTTTGGCATTAAGTCAAAGTGAGCCTTTTATTCGATATCGGATAAGAAAAGAACTCACAATTTTAACTACTGGTTTAAATATTTGACTTTCTGTTGTTTCAATGGGTGTAATTTGTACATTTTATTCATCAGTGGTATGTTAGAGAAAAGCATATAAAAAAAAGAGAATATAATTTGCTATGATGATAGGATGGTATGAAAGCAGTCATTTGGACAGATGTTTTACAAGCAGTAGTTATTCTTGTCGGTATTCTGGCTGCTATTATACAGGGTTTGAGAATGATCAAAGAAATATGTTTTTTACTATAATATGTAAATATTTAGGTTTTATAGCACTTGGTGATGTTAAGCGAACATTTTCAATAGCATACAGTGGTGGTCGAATTGAATTCGATAGGTATTGTATTAGAAAATAAACCTTTTACACTCGGAGAATAATACAAACCGAGTTATGTAATAGTACAGGGTGCTCCAAAAATCTGAACGAAAAGAAAACGTGATGAGTTTCTCAGCAGTTCAAGGAATTTAAATGGTTGTTTTAGAGTTTGATCACATATTCATTAAAGTTCTATTCAATATATTTCAGATAAAATGTCTGCGTCTACAAAAGTCAGAATTGAAATAGTTTTACTAATGAGCAAATTCGAGTCAGCTATCATTGTCAAACGAAAGCTGCAAATCGAATTCAGCAAAAACATACCAAACGAGGCCTTTATTAACTCATTACCACAAACAGGAACATACTGGATTATGAAGGAATACCTCTTATTAAAGTCGTATAAGATACAATTTGTTCAACAGTTCTACGAAGACGAGTTACATAGATCGAAAACTTGAACCTGGCTTACTTTTACAAGTGTCATCAACTTCATCGAGTTTTCTTCAGTTATTATTCTATGATCTTCCAGAACCTTATCGATTTTCGAGAGTATCAGTTTTATGAAATCGTTGAAATAGGGTTCTAATACAGGACTCACTTGGCGTGGTTTTGTCGAACTCGATTTGCAACTTTCGTTTTACAATGATAGCTGACTTGAATTTGGTCATTAGTAAAGCTATTTCAATTCTGACTTCTGTAGACGTAGACATTTTATCTGAAATATATTGAATAAGACTAATGAATATGTGATTAAACTGTAAAACAACGATTTAAATGCATTGGACTGTTGAGAAGCTATTCACGTTTTCTGTTCATTCGGATTTTTGAAATACCCTATATATTTTCAAAATGCAGTAAAATATTCAAGATAAAATAACCTATCAGATAGACAAGATGAATTAATTTCGCTCTTTTGTGCATGTGATTAGGATAATAGAGTGTTGTTTCATACGTCTCGACGGTGAGAATTCTGGTTCTAGTTCGGCACAGTTAAATATATTATATGCTAATAATAGATAAATCGAATAAGTCTCGATAGCCTCTCATTAAAAATTAATTTTTCTTGCTTTAAGTGTAAGTTTTGATCCTCGTGTTCGTCATACAGTCTGGTCATTAGTTATTGGTGGCGGAATTAATTCTTTAGCTACTTAAATAGTTTTAATCAAACTCAAGTTCAACGTTATATGTGTGTTCGTACAACATGTGGTGCTAAACAAGCATTATTTATAAATGCAGCTGGTAATGCTCTTGTTATAATTGGATGTGGTATTATGGGAGTTATTCTTTATGCCTATTATGCTGATTGTGACCCATATACAGCTAAATACATTTCAGGTATTGATCAAATATTTCCATATTTTGTTATGGAAGTATTAAATGATAAAAAAGGTTTACCCGGAATATTTCTTGCTTGTGTCTTTTCTGGTTCATTATCAACAATATCATCTGGTTTAAATAGCCTTGCAGCTGTTCTTATTGAAGATATTTATAAAGGTTTAATGGGAAGAGCATTAAGTGATGAACGACAAGGTTTTTTATCAAAAATCGTTTCGATTGTAATTATTAGGAGGTGTAGTGATGTTATTAACATATATTGTGAGTTATCTTGGATCAATACTTAATGCTGCACTATCATTATTTGGTATTTTATCTGTTCCAATAATGGGTGTTTTTATTCTGGGTTTCTTTTCTCCAAAAGCAAATAGTCGTGGTAGTTTTATTGGTTTTTTAGCAAGTCTTTGTTGACAATTATGGATTGTTTTGGGAGTACAAATAACTAAAAAATAAATGCAAAGTAAACGTTTACCATTATCAATTGCTAATTGTCCTGTACCAGTTAATATTACAACACCAATAACAATTCCAATCAAGTCAGATTTCTGGAGAAGAAATCTAAAAATATAATTAAAACTTTATCTTTGTTTAGATCGAATCCATTACTTGATTTTTATGCTATTAGTTATCTGTGGTATTCACCAATAGCTGTTAGTGCTGTTGTAATTGTTGGAATGATTGTATCTTATTTAACTTGTCCAGTTAAATCAAATGAAATCGATCCGAAATTAATAATATCTGTTAGTGATGTATGTTGTTTTTCTGTACCTAAACGTATACGTGATTGGCTTCGATGCAGTTTTACAGATGATGCTTATTTGGAAAAAAAGGTTTGTTTATCAATCAAATAAGGCTATGAAATTAATTGTTTTTCTTTTTTATTTATTAAAGATTCAGAATAATATTGAATTAACAGCACCGGAAGGCTGTAATGCACTTCATACTAGTAAAATTCAGCAAACACTTAGTACAGATACAAGAGCTATATTTCCATCGAGTGTTGTGATAAGAACAACAATGAATGATGCTTATGATAATCCGGCAATGTCGACGAAAGACTAAGACTTTCGATTTATTCCTTAGACTGAATATCTAGGGTCTATCTGTCTGTCTGCAAAATATTTTTAAAACCACCGTCTGTTTTGTTTGTTGACCTTGGAAAGTTGCTTATTGTTCAGAATTGTTTTATTTTGGATGTGGATGTGGAGTGTGGAGTGTGGGTATGGGCTGTGGGTGTGGGTGTGGGTGTGGAGCAGGGTGGTCAGATGAAAAAATTGAAAATCAGAAAAAAAAATTCGAAAATCAGAAAATGATCAGAAAATTTCCCCATCAAAATCAGAAAAAAAATCAGAACGCGGATTTGAATGCGGCAAGTAGACAAATATGTTTCATTCACCATATAATTTATGCCCTGATCCTGTCTCTCTCTCTCTCTTGCTTAGTCATTATCATATTCAGGGATGTGGCGAAGAGAAAAAAGTGGAGGGGAGGCGGCGGGGAGATGCTAGGGAAATTTTTTCAAAAGTTGAGGGTGTATTCAGAAAATTTTTCAACGTGAGAGGATGCGTTTACAAAATTTAAAAAGTGGGAGGGGGGTGCAGAACCTTATTTTTCCATCTTACGATCTTTTTTTCAATAAAAATACAGATTTTTGCTGGGAAAAAAGCGAACATTTTCTAAAAGTGGGGGAGGGTGCGCACCCTCCTGCACCCCGTGGTGGCCACATCCCTGGAACTGTATTATCGTTTTATGTAGATAGATGTTATGTGGTTATGTCGTATCAATAGTAATAATTCGGGCATTCATATGAGAATGAACTAGCACGTTTGAAACAGCAGAAATGAAAATCAGGAAAATCAGAAAAAATCAGAAATCAGAAAGCCATCAGAAAAAGTGTTCAAAATCAGAAAATTTCTGAAAAATCAGAAGATCTGGCCAGCCTGCATATGATATAAAAAAGAAAACAAAAACAAAAATTAAAACTAATACCTACATTTTATTTTATGGTCTTGTTCGATGTTGAATTATTCCGTATCATGTTGTTGCATTCGTTCTAAAATAGAAAAGAAAAAGATTATTATATGATTCAATAAATTGAATGATTTTACATAGAAAATCATTCATATTTATACGCTAAAAGAACATTAATTATGTTATATTATCATTGATCATCAATGATAACATGAACGATAAGTTTTGGACGAGAGAAATGAAAGAAAAAAAATTCTCTTCACTTTTTTTCTCATTCTTTTTTCTCGATCATGTTCATTTGTGAACACAAAGCAGACGAACACACACGATATTCAAGTATGTGTTGTTCATCATTCAAATTCATTTTTTTACAATGAAATAATTCTGTTTTAGTTAGAATGTCAACGTTCAGTTCATATTGTTGTTGTTGTTGGAAATCATAATACCAATAAGATGTTCATCTTAAACAACTACGAAGGTAAATTGTTTTATTTTATTGTAAAAATATGTTATTGATGCACATATAGTGATCCAACAGAATATCAATTTAGTGGAAATATGAATGTAAATTTATTGTGTGCTTTTTTCTTTTAGAATTAGTTTCAATTATTTAGATTGCATTGGAAGTTGCTCAAGCGTTAGATGATAAATATTGTTGGAAAAAATTAGCCTTTCATTACTTAATTACAAGAAATTATGAAACACAAAAGAAAAATGGTGAAAATTGGTTTGAAAAGTTCTTGCTGTTTTCATTTCATTTTATTTTATTTTTATTAAATAGAATCAGTTGCTTATATTATGACGGCTACACATGGTATTGATAAACAATCTAAACTATCGAAAGAATCTCTTGTTGAAAAAGTAATTTATTATTTTCAAATGTAAAAGAGTGTTTTATTTATTTTCATAACTTTTAATTTAAAAAAAAGTTTCTTTTTTTAGAAAACCAAAACTATTTTGAAGATTTAGAAAGATNCACTAAAAACGGTCGATCTCCTCAGAGACAAGCCATAAGCACGAACTTATTCTACCATAGACACAGCTCACTAAGGTCGACAAAACGCGCTAAGTCCCGACTTGAAAGCGCTCGGGCACCTGGGAATGTTCCCTCGTAAGCCAAAGTATAAGGATTAAAATCAAGATATTCAATAAAAATCAACATCACTTCTTTTTTATATCAAATATTGTTTTGACTTACAACTTGATATTGAGTTGGACATCGAAGTAGTAAAAGACTAAGCCAATGATCATGATCCAGTACACAAACAAATGCTAAAATCAATGCTGCAGCTTCTAAATAATATGAAGCTTTTCGAAATAATCTTGGAAATAAGGTTAAAATTAAGACAAGATTTTTTGCAATAAATAAACATAAAAAAGTATAAACACCAACTTTTAAATTTTTAAATGTATTATCTTTATAAGCTTCACTTATATTATATGATATTAAACGATTTGCTACTGATTCACACATATAATTATGAATTGATGTTTCATTAACTAATGAATAAAAATATTGTGGATGTTTAGTACGTAACATAATTGTTGTATAAGTAATAAGATAAAGAATATAAAGTATAAAGGAAAAAACAAGTAGATATTGACCAAATTGTGAATATTTTCTTGCTCGTAATGTTTGACAAAATGAATGTTCCATCAATGATTGATTTTCAGAGTCAGATACTATGAATAATGGATGATTACGTACAAGTGTATACGAATCACCTGTATATGGTTCGTATTTAGTTCGATATTTAAATACGCCACAACATTTAACAAGAGCACCATTATCTGTAATATTACTTGTTTTAACTAAGTATAAAAAGACAATGTCAAAACATCTTATTTTATTATTACTATTTTTAAGGCCCCTCATAAAATCGATCATGGTCAGGAAAATTCAAATCGCATAGAATCTTCAGTCTTATGTCATGATGTTTGAGAGAGCTATTCGATAAACAAGGGTAAAAAATAGTTCATTTAGCGACCCAAAATTGTCGATAGGCCGTCATTGTATAGACTTAATTTTTTCTGTATGTTTGAAAGAGTATGTCAAGATGCAAGGCATGAGAAAGCTGGTTTTTTTTAAATCTTGCTTTTTAAATGGAGAAAAAGGATGAAAAGTTCAATGTCTCAAAAAATTCTCAAACAATGGCGTTCTAATTATGACTTTACTCTTTTATATAATAGTAACAAAGCTTAATTACAAAAACAGAACTTTGCCATGCCATGCATCTTGACATGTTCTTTCAAACAAAAAAGAAAAGCAATTTATATTAATAAAATTGCTTTAAGAAATCTTGAATGCACCATCAAAAACAGAGAAAATACGAAAAAACTGAAAAATCATATTTTTCAAACAGAAAATAACGAAAATTTATTAAAAAAAAAAAGAGATACCAAGTAAATAATAATGTGATTTGTGAAAGATCAAACCACGAATTATTTTTCAATGCATTTATCTGAATTATCATGTTTTCCACGAAAATTAACTGTCTTTGAGGAGAAGAGGATGAAGAAGCTTAAATAAATATTAGAATACCTTTTGAATACCAGTGTTTAACAGTTAAGTGATCTTCAAAAAATTCATAATCATATATTTCCTTATTAACAGTCATATTTTCAAATCCACTTGTTCGTGTAAATTGTTGATCAATAACATCTCTTGCTAAGTCAGGCATATAACGTATTAATTTACGAAGTGGTGTATCATATGCATTTGCAGTTGAATCTAATATAATTTGAGCATTTTGCAACATTGGACGCCAATCATAGAATTCAAGTAATAATAAACGAGCTACGCCTTCATTATGATTTAATATAGCTAATTCTAAGCCATTATAAAGTTGAGCATTACGTATTAATGTATCACATTCATTTGCTAATAATTCAATAACTACAGGTCGATGTCCATTTGCACAGGCATAATGAAATGCTGTCTCACCTTTATCTGTTAATACATTAATATTGACAAGATGCATTTGAAGAAGATAAGCGACTACATCAGCATGACCTAGAAATATATTAAATTAGATAGAAAGTTTCCAAATTGACATATCATTTGTATATTGATGGATATTTAATCCTTAATATTGATATCTGATCACATTCGTATATTAAACTGTTGAATAGAAGTCAAAAACTAAAGTAGTATTGAACTGATATCTCCTTAGGTAAATTATAAATGTAATTTCAAACACTAACATTAATACTAATGAAGATATAGTACGTACATGGTGAACAGAGATTGTAGAGTCACCCTAACCTAGAGTATAGCGTAAGATAAGCTTTATCAATTTTTTTCAATCACGATACAGAGTACGAGAAAGGCTTATCGTGTTCATTTCTACTGATGAATATATAATGATGAATAATCTGTTTTTTCTTTCAAATATTCCAGAAAATTTTATGTTAACAGCAGTTAATGTTATTGACAAATCGGTCATTATCGTATGTTCATAATAAATGTATTGGCTTTAGTCAATTAATTCCCCATTGATCCATCTATATTACTTTGTCAACAACTCACTATGTTTGATGTAAAAGTTAACGGTCTGTGTGTGGGACTGAGACGATGAAAAAAAACTTTTCAAATCGAAACTTGCAACTTTGATCCAAACTTTTATGATTCTGAGCAAACATTTTTCCTTAATCGTACCCATCAAAACATAATTCAAGAGAAATGCCCAAAAAAAAGTATTTAAAATGTTTTCTTGAAAAAGTAGCGATCGAGACAAAGAAAATTTGATTATGTACATCTATAATGAAGAATTAATTTTTGCACAAAAGACATAAAATATGAAAAATTGATATGATTTCGAAAAATCTTCGAATAAAATTATTTCTTTTGTCCTACTAAATTTGAGTTAGTCTTGTTTAATCGCTGTTAGAATGTCAAAAAGGACAAGATCAAAATGTCATTCCCTGCAGCCCCTCGATGTCCAACATATGATGATATTTTGAAAAGTTAGTATCGTGGAGATATGAAGTCTAAAAACTCTGAAATTTTTTGTACAAGTTCGTGTATGTAAGACTTTTAAGTGGAAGTAGTTTGAGACCCTAATTCAAAAAGACGTTTCTTTGGAAAACCAGAGATTCTACTAAAAGGATCCCTTGGAAATAGACCTATGAACTATTCGATAACTTGGCAAAATCTCATTAGGAATTCAATCCTTCTAAGAGCTTTTACTAGAATATTAAGTTGTGTCTTGGGTGGGTATGGGTATGTGGCTGAAAAGAATATACGTTCACATCCTTAGTCTTTCATTTTTTCTTTATAAATAATAAACATTTGATTCGAATTTAGATGTTTTTTCTTTCTGAACGAGAAAATATTCAAAAGCTTCCACCTCAGTTTTTCGACATAATGCTTTCGAGCAAAGTTTGGACAATGATTGGAACGGAATACATATGAGAAGATTTTTCTCATAAAAAAACATTTACCTTCAGCTGCTGCTAAATGTAAACATGTTCGTCTTTCATCATCTCCAATAGCTAATAATTGAATTTTAATTTGTTTGTCTTTTATTAAATCATCACTAGTTAAATATTTAATCATTTCTAAACGTCCATATTCACATGCTTCATGAAATATTGTTCGTCCATAAGCATTTTGATGTTGAAATAATTTTAACTTATCACCATTATAATTTTTTAACATAGAATCACATAATACAACATTATTGGTTTTACTTATTTCATGTAAGGGTGTTGCTTGTAATGGTTGAGTAGACATTAAAATTAAAAAATCATCTGCATTTAATTTTTCCTTTAATATATTAAAAACATGTTCATGTTGTCGTTGTGCAACAAGATGAAGTATGTTTTTCTTGTCATGCGTCATTATATGAAGATATTCAACTTTACATCCAAGTAATATTTCAACCATTGATTTATGACCATAATAAGCAGCTATTAATAATGGTGTATAGCCATGTTCATCAGTTTGTTCTAGTAATTTATTTAGATTGTTCGTACGTCCTTGCGTAAAATCAAGAATATACTTAAGTAATTCAGGATTATCATAATGACAAATAATATGAAATAGAATTGTAGATTCTGGTGGACGATAATAGTAAATAAGAAATCGTGCAAGTATTTCTGTTGGTAATGTTTTTGAACGTTTTGCAAGCATATTAATACAAATAGGTAATTCATGCCGAAATAAACTAGTATCAATTCTTGATACAATTGTATTTATCATATGTGGTGTACCATGACCAACAGCCATTGATAAAGGTGTAAGACCTTCAAGATTTGTTGTTATGAATAAAGATGAATTTGTTTTTGGTGAATTTATAAATATATTGAACATTTTATCTTTATCTTCAGATGAACATAATGATAGTGCAACACAATGAAAAACATTTTGTTGAAGAATACTTTGTGCCTAAAGAAAAGTTTTACTAAGTGTTTTTTTCTTGTTTTAATAATCTGTCCTATATCTTTAAAAAAAAGTAGAAAATTATTTTTTTTTAAATATATTTATGATATAATGTATTTGTATTAGAAACGAAAAATAAGCATATAAATAAGTCTGGAAGCTATATTGAGGTTTTATTGATTATTCAAAATCAACATGGTTCATAATAGTTAAGTTTATACAAATATTTTATATTGACAGAGATCTCATATGAAAAAAAGTCAGAATAGAAATAAAAACTCAGTTGATACTGTCAACATTATGATTTGTACAGTAGGAAAACTGAAGAAAATGCTTGTTGACTTTCTTACCAGTTATTTAGCTACGATTCTCATTCTCTAACTCAATAATTGAGTAAAGAAGTAGCACATATCACATAGTCAGTTTCACATAGAAATCAATATCACAATCTATTTGACTACTGAGGTTAAACAATCAGACAGAGAGATCTTACAAGATCAGATGATAATTGTAGGAAAAATCATCATCTCTAAAAAATCTTACATTAAAACCTACACTGGATATTATAAGAAATTTGGTGTGACGATAAGATTTTATAGTAGTGTAAAGCAACAGCGAAGGGAAAGACCAACGGTCATTGAATATGTTCCTATAACAGCTGAGGACATAGGCCGTCGAACTCCTTTCGCCCAATTCCTTAGCAACGAAAAGAAGCGTTCAAAACCATTAACAACAACACTTCGACTGTTCTAAAACATTTCAAAGTCTTTCTCAACATTTGAATGGCTGGGATACGTTGTTGAATGTTCGAAATAGTATACTTTTAGATTTTTGCTTTTATAAAAAGTTATATTCGACATGTCAAGATTGATAACTAATAATCATGATGTCAAACTAAGAAAAACAGAATACGAAAAAGAAAAATAATGAGTAAATTGCAACAAAACAAACAAAAAGAATGAGCGCCAGTAAAGAAGAAAAAAAAATCTATAGTCAGCTAGAGATTTTTCATTTTACTTATTTCGTATTAACCCTTTGGGGACGGGATTACTGTAGCAAAAAATAAATTTTTGAAACATTGAAATAATACATCTACTAGAAAGAATGTGCATGGGAACGCAATACAAATGGTAGTGCCACACCGCATTGCAGGTGGCGTATCCATCCCTACACTCGCATCTAGATCATAATAGTGTCATAGGAGACATATGCAAGTCAGCTATGGTTCGATTCAGAACCGTTGCCTATATATAGGCTTTCCGTCCCCAAAGGGTTAATAAAATGAAGCTACACTGACATGCTTTTTCGAACAATTTTGTCCAATCTGCAAGACTCTACATCTGATTTTTTTCTATCTGAACAATAAATTTCTAGATTCAATTGATCTTCAAGAATTGTTATACTTAATCAAGAAATATTACTTTACCGAGATATCAGCTCCCCATTGAAGTAAAATATCAATATAAATAGGTCGATTGAGTAAAACAGCAACATGTAATGGTGTTCGTTTTTCATTATCTCTATGATCGACTTTTTTACATAATGGTAATAATATTTGAAGTACTGTTGGCATATTCTAAAATTCAAAAATTATACAAAATATTTTAATTTCATTTATTTTACAGATAAGTCTTTTTGAGGTTCAACTCGAGTATCAGTTGTATGTGGTATTGGTGATGCTTCATCTCTACGTTGTTTTGACTTTAAGTACCAATCATATACTTATTTCTATTTACAGACAAAAAATTTCTAACCTTTGTTGCCGATGTTTCTTCTTTTAATTCATCTATCGTCCAAATAGCTTTCGATTGAGCAACAATATGAAGTACATGTTCACCGTTACCACTCAATATATTTACATCTATATGAAAGCACAAGAAAAAAAAAGTTTTCATTTCATCAAAAATATGAATGTGAAATTACCTGAAGAAAATTTACTTTTTTCCACCAACAGTTTTTCTACAAGAAAAATATTATTATGCCAAACAGCGTAATGTAAAGCTGAATATTGTTTCTTTTTATCTAAATTATGTATAATTTTTTGAATCTGTGAACGATTATTATAATTTTGTTCAATGCGTTGAACAAATCGATTCCATTTTTCTTCTACTTCACTTGGTGATGCTCTTATTACCTTTTAAATAGATTTATTTAAATAATTTAATGAAAATTTTTGATATTATACTTCAAGTAAATAACGTTCAGCAATATTCACATTTTCTCCTGTTTCATATGAATTAATTATTGACGGTGATTTTGATTGATAGTATTCATGATTTTCTCCATCAGCATCGGCAAGAACTATAGATGAAGATAATGCTAAGTTGTTATCATCAAAACGCCAGACAAGTTTATTCAATGGTTCAGGTGCTATTGAAAAATCGGTCATTGTCAAATATATAGTCTTTGACTATGCATGCCACGCTATGTGTCGTTCACAACTGTACGAAAGTGTATTTATATAAAATTATGTCAACAACGGATGGTAAACAAACACAACAGAAAAAAAAGAAAATTTAAGTTTCATTTCTAAGTTTTCATCGGATGGCATACTCTTACACATACGATTGTTGAGTGAATTACTCAAGATGCTGTAGGCATGTTTTAAAAAGGTGATTTTTTTTCATCGTTTTAAAAAAACTGAAAAGCAAAAAATAAATAAAAAGACAATCATATACAAAATGTTAAGTGATTAAAATTGAAATTAAAATTATCCTGAATTTAAATCCGAATATAAATATAAAAGAAACTACAGAAATATAAATTTGATTTACTTCAGCTTTTTATCATCGACCCAAAAAAAAAAAGTTTGTGTTAATATGAGATACATATTTATTTTTTATTTCTAAATATAGAATGTTTTACGTCGTTTTTTCTTACTAACGAGAGAATTAACCGAACTGATAACCCGCTGTGTAACCTCATATTGGAGCCAGTTATGACCATTTTATCCAAGTTTCGATCTAGCTTTAAGTATTTACTGAAAAATCAAATAATGGTATTTCGATCTAAAACATCACCCATAAACAGATTGAATGACTAATAGAATATCCTAAAAGTTTCAGCCGAAAAAAAAATGTTTCTTCGTCAAGATATTGAATTTTCACAAACTAATCCTTTGTCACAAAAATCGAGTTCATTTGAAACTTTAATAACTGGACAAAAAAAACATTAGTTTTGGCTGAGACTTCCAGGATATTCTAATAGTTATGAGGAACTATCTATAGGCAAGCATGTTGGATCGAAAACACAGTAAATTGGTCAGAACTCGACACAACAGGTCAATGGGCTCGAATTCTTTCAAACTGTTGCTAATCTTACTGAGACATTCTTCTAGGTCAAATATGAGGTCAAACGGTGGTGGTTAATTGAAGTAGTTTCATCATAAGTAATGAAACTCATCGAGACTACCATGTCAAGATAATTACTAAAACTATTTAGTCATTGATAAGATTGAGAAAAATATTAAAAAGAAGTTCGTGTTTAAATTCACGTCTATAACAAGTAAACATATATATATATACTTCATAGTGTGTAGAGTACAACAATATGTTGATAAAGTATGCACATTAATATTAACTAAAATAAAAGGAATCAATGATTTATAAACTTTGACAAATATGACCATATTAACCGTATGTCATAATTGATACTAAAACTTTTTGGTTTACAATAGAAAGCACCATGATTTTGTTTTATTTATGTTTACAAAAATAAAAACAGACTCATTGAAAACAATCAAGAAAATCAAATAGAAACACAAGTAATTTACTAATTTTCCTGTTAGAAAAATATTACCAATGTAGGCAACTCGATCAAGTACTTCTAATGGTTTGGTTGGTTTTTCAACTGCTTCTAGTATAGCACGCGTAATCGTAACTTTATGACCAGATAATGAAAAAATGAAATCACATAGAATCGATATATAGTATATATCGATTCTATGTGATTTCATTTTTTTGGATTCTTTTTGTTTTTTAATTAATTCTTGGTCTGTTATAATGATTTCCCATATGTTCGACTGCGATCAAACTGCGACGCAGTTACGCGTAACTGCGATCGCACTGTGACCCGTAATTGTGGAAAATTGCGACGCAGCTACGCGTAACTGCGAGTTTTTTACCGTAACTGCGCGCAACTACGATATTTTTTTCGCATCTACGCGTAACTGCGTCGCAGTCGAACACATGGATTTTTTACTGCGATCAATGTGCCGCAGTTACGCGCAGTTACGATCAAAATTTCGCAGTTGCGCGTAACTGCGACGCAGAATTGGCTCTACGCGTAACTGCGACGCAGTTGTTAAAAAAGTGGCGACATGGGTTAACTATTATACAAATTGCATGTACTTAAAGATTTTTGTACCAGTCANCATCAGGCCCGAGTTCGGTGCCAACCGCAGTAATAATTCGGACTGCAGATTCTTACTCGGCCTCACAACTCTTTCAGGTATCAAATGTGGCTATGGGTTTCTGTCCATGTGAGCCTCAGTGTAGACTTTATATGCTGTGGGACAGAGCCACATAGACATGCAGCAATAATCGACAAATCAAATCTAAATCATGATTGTTTTTGAAATTTTTTGTGAGTTTGTCTATAATAAGAATAACAATGATAGCTTAAAGGTATATAAACAATATTATTAGAAATAGTATAAGAGTTTTTGAACTTCTCTTTGAGAAAAAAAAGTTATTTCGTCAAATGCCTCAAGCTTATCCTCCGTTGAAAATCATTCTAATGTTCAGCATGTGAAAATATTTAACATTAAAAATGATTTATTTACTTTTGTAATTATTTAATAGCAATTCTTGTAACTTTATTCCTTCTATCGTTATTTATTGTTTTATAATAAAAGCCAAAAGAAAAAGAATTAATATTCGAGAATATTATTTTGAAGATATTATTATTCAGCTACTTAGTTTTCAACCATACAATTCAGCATCAACAAATTGAAAGCAAATTAATAAAAATCCACAATTATAACATGATAATAATGATTATCACTAAGGATATAAATATTCACAAGCAGATTACATTCAAGTGCTCATGTTTTTTTTTAGATATTCTTTCGCTCTTTATTCATTATTTCTATTTCTTCTCACGAATGTAATTACAAAGCTTAAAAATTTTGTTAGCCATTTTTTCATCCTCATTGTGCTCTATTATGAATTTTCTGCAGTAAGATGAAAGCATATTCTAGGACCATAATTCGAATTGTCAGAGGTTATTCGGTCAGATTCTGATATTGAGTGACTAAAAATTCCCTAAAAAAAGCATATAAATGAAAGCGAATGAACAAATCTTTGGAAAAGATTTCTCAGATATCTATCATTAGTTATTTTACTAGTTGAACAAAGTTTGGTAGAACTATAGTGGCAACGCTCGTGTTTTATGATGAACGAAAACAATGTCAAAATGATTGTTATTTAAAAATCAATGACTCTTTGCTTATTAGTTAGATGAAAGAAAATCCAAGGACAGAGTTTAGGTACTGTGCACAAAGTTATTGTCAAAAGTGCTGGAATGATGTTGAACTGACACTCAGATGCTGATAGTTTTATCGAAAGCAACACTTAAATTAAAATGATAACATATGATAGATTGATAGCGTTCTGTATTACACGAACTGGCATTTCAAAATTTTGATGAATACAGCGAAGATCCAATCAGAAATTTACTCATTTTTTCGATTCTTTCTGACGTCATTTATATTTTATTTGAAGAATAAACTTATTTTTATATTGTATTTATCAGAGGGACAAAACGAATTGTATCATTACGATGTCGAAAAATTACTTGAATTATTTTTTATTATTTGTTCTGTCAGATGAAATACATTTCTTTCAATATACTCAAAAATATTATAGGGGCGCGATCAACTGGCCTGATACCCCAACACTCATTTCTTTATATAACTTCAACCACTTATCAGAAAAATGTGATTTTTTTTACCAGTTGTACCCCATATATAATGCTACCGATCTGTTACTATTTGAGTTTGTGTATATTACTAGAAATAAGAGTTGTTAAGAACGTCCTTATAATCATTGTGCTAAACGTACTTCACATTGTATTTGTTGATATCTTGTTCTCGGTATATATTTCATGCACGATAGTATTTTATCCATTCTATCCTAGCTGTATGTTCTAGTTAGATCATTCTTGGTCTAACTGTAATTTTGTTTTTCACTTTCCTTCATTCTTCATTTTCTTTAACACGATTTCACTCGATAACAAACGCTTATTACCCTTGGATTATGGTTTCTCCACAAATTGAATGGGATTGTCCTCAGTGTCAATCTACTCCAACTGATCGTTGAAAGTATTGTATTGACTGTCATTCAATGTTAACTTGGACATTTACTGGCTCATGAAGCTTTGGTTTGTACACGAATTATTATCTTTATCGTGACAGTTGTAATTATTGTAGACCAGAGCTTGAAGAAGACAGGTAAAAAAATGGAAGAGAAGTAAGTTGCTATTCAACAACATTTTCAAGCTTTAGATGATAGTACGTAATATTAATTTTTTCGGTTTACACATACATCTCTCAGTTGATTATTTTGTGCTACACGAATAGTCAAAAACTAATAACTATTGCACTGTTTCTATATAATGTAGAATAACGTCCACGGTCGAAATGGAGACGTACTAATGCGTCTTACGTACAAAATACAGGATATGACGTTGAACAAGTACCAGAATTGTATTCTATGTGTGAACAACCACTTATAAATTATTGTTCCCATAAGAACCATCGACATACAAACGGTACCACCACATTATATTTATCTCCTATGAATTTGCTTGTGGTTACATTATGGCAGCTTAAAACATTTTCATTCTGAACATTATATTGCTTCAGAATTGAATTTAAGTCAACCAGCAGTGAATTATTTCTTATCAGCAGTCTTGGATATTTTATATTCTTGTATATATCCAGAATTAATTTCATTACCAGCTGACATAGCTAACAGAAGAACACCACATGGGCCTCAACGACATCATAAATTAATAGTTGATTCGACTTTCATTGCAATGCCTGAACCTTATGACTCAGAGCAATGTAAAGCATATTATCATGCAAAAAGTTCAACAAATTATGCATTAAAAGTACAAATAGCTTGTGATTTTCATCATCGAATAGTACATGTGTCCGAATGTTATCATAGAAATGTGCATGATATTACAGTTCTTAGAGAGTCAGGACTATTAGAACATGTAAATGACTCTGTGCAAATTTTTGCTGATAAAGAATATATTGGTGAAGACTATGTAGTCACTACAAGAAAAAAGCCTCACGAACGTGAATTAACATATGAAGATAAGAATTTCAATCGTGATATTAATAGTGCAAAAGCAGTTATTGAAAATATTAATCAATGTCTTAAAACTTATGCTATTCTTGGTGGTGTTTACAGAGAAGCTATTGATGACTTTCATAAGGAAAAGAAAATCCTACAAGTCGTTTCTGCTCTATGTAATTTGAACTTAAATAAACATCCTTTTGGTAGATAAACAAAATGATAAGTTGTGTTTTCTGATTAACTACCTGATAATGAAACTCTGCAACTGATCTTTCATGTTGTTTCAAAATTCTTAGTAGGGAATGGTGCATGTTAACAAATACGATACGAAGTACGTTTAGCACAATGATTATAAGGACATCCTTGAGAACTCTCATTTCTAGCAATATTCATAAACTCAAATAGTAACAGATCAGTAGCATATATATGGAGTACAACTGGTAGAAAAATCACATTTTTCTGATAAGTGGTTGAAATTTCATAAATAAATGTGTGTTGGGGTATCAGACCGGTTGATCGCGCCCATATACCTTTTTTCCACGTTTTTTTGTTGGACATATATTTTCACTGCTCAGTATTGTGTTTTTTACATGTGATAGGGAATTCGAATTTATGGCAAAATCATATTCTTTAAAATCATCTCTATTTGTAACAAAATAAAATTATACCGCTATATGTTATAGCAGCATAGTGGTATAAGGGGTACATGTTTATACAGCCATAGCGTTATAAGCAATAAAGCGTTGCAGTATGCATACTGAAGCATTCATTAGTCAGAAACTCTTTGGCTCACGTAACTCACCTTTTATTTCTGCGTCGCGGTGTGAGGGGGGGGGGCATAGCGCTTTCAGAATAGCTGCGACTTACGTTCGTCGCTGTGTACACGATTTCGTCTATCTGCAGCTTTTGCTCAACATAAATTGAAAACCTCTAAAATTCTACATTCCTAATACCGTTATACCGCTATATCGCTATAGTGGCATAGCTATACATTGCGTGGAATATTTTACTGCTTCAGATTGGGTTGGTTTTGGAATTTGCTGCAAATTCAAATTTCCCATCAACTCATTTGTTATCTTCATTATTATCTCACCATATGTATATTCCCAATAAGCCAACTTATGACTCGTAAACCCATTCTTGCATCCCTATATGATTAATAATCAGAGTTAAAATAAGATGTACTTAAGTGAGTTCTCGAGCTCTATACAGACCAGGGATTTTACTAATTATCTTTCAGCTTACGTATAGCGCGTGGACAAAAGCAACGGATAATTAGCAGAAAACCTCACAAAGCTAGACATTGATAGTTCTTATATTTTATTCATATCAAAAAGCTGATCTACTTCTTTAAGTTAAAAGTATGTTTACGATAACGACAGTGACAATAATGAACCATCGATAGAGTGAATTAGGTTACTTTGTCAATGAATTTTCAAGTTCAATCAAACTTGTATTCTAGATACCTTGTCTGAACATAGCTTCACCATGAACCTAGCCATGGTGACGTTGTAATTGCTATTGCTACTAGTGGCTCGTGTCCTGTTGCACGAAATCAAAATTGTATACCAGCTGGTATGCTAATACAAGTATCAATGTCAACTTTTATGATTTCTTCTTTTTCGTTGTGTTGTCGCCAAAATTCTCGTTGGACAGACAGAAAATACCATATATTTCGTAAACAATTCAATTTTCAACAGCAATCAGGATCATACTAGGAGGAAGATTAAACTGTAGATGTGGGTGTAGGTAAAAACATGTATATCCAGCCCCATAACCACGTATACCCATACCCCACATCCATGAGTTCGATTATATCGAAAAAATCGAAATCTCTCGATGAGTTTCATTACTTTTGCATCTTTTCATTGTATTACTTTGATTTTTTGTTAAAAAATCAACGTTTTTATTTGAATGACTGAATTTTCTATTCTTTTTTGAATGAAAATTAATTTTAACCGATGATTATAGTGTAAAATACATGGTGAAAAATAATTCATTTGAAGTTTAACTGTACATGTGTACTTACACGTATTAATTTTACGAAAAATTGTATATTTTATAGTAGTATAGAGTGATATGAACTTTACAAAAGTTCAGCATGCAGTCTCATGAAAGACAATGAACCTGAACTTGGGGACAAGTTTAGGTAAACTTTTTTACTTGCATACGCAGAAGACTTATGTTGCAAAAGCCTACACCATCATTACTTCATGTTTCTCATAGCATCGCTTTGATGTAAAATTCATTACTTTCACGAGTCAACACGATGTAACGTACACCATTTTATTTACATTGTTTATTTTATGGGATATGTTCATCTTAAAATAATTCTTGTTCTAAATGATACACATTCAAGTATTTGATTTTTCGTACTTATAATATGAGAGAATCTTTCTATTCTATGAATCGAAAAGCACTGTTTCGTCTTTTATTCTTAAAACAGAAACACACATGATCGATGTCGTTTTTTAGTTGCTGAGATCATATTTTTTTAAAAATGTTTTATGCACATTCACAACAACATATTCACTGATTTTTTTAACAATGAAAAACAGAAAAAATGAATTAATCAACATTAGGTTTTACATTAGCTGCATTAGAACGTAGTCTATTGAGTAATTCTTCATTAGTTTTAGTATAACATTCACTAGTAGAGTTCGGTTGAAGTTTTTCTTAAAAAAAAGAATATTAATAAAATATATTATTTTCATTAATAAAAATTCAAATTCGCAAACCTGGTGTTACTTTTCCGATAAGATATCGAAATTTACCATCTTTCAATTTAACAATATCTTTACAAACGTTTACTGTCTCTTGGGTAACTACCATATGCTAAATAAACAATATGATAGGAGAGAACAAAATTTGTCCCTTAAAACCTTTCGAAAAATAAATAAAATCTTACTGAAAAGTCAATTTCTCGTAATGCATTTGTTTCATTTGCTTTGACACCAAGAAAAACAGCAAGTACACCATCACAATTAATTTGGTTATTGGCAATCTAAAATTCATTCCGTATGGTAACTTTTGTTATAAAACAATTAAATAAATACTTTGAGAACTTGAAGTGAATCATTCGATGATAGTGCCTGAGCAATAGCAAAAGCATTTGATGTATTCAATCGATTTCCATTAATATTAAATTCTTCTAATGCACTATTCTGTTTAATACAATCAGCTAGAATTTGACCACTATCAGGTCCCAAACCATTCATTTCTAGATTGCAACGTTTCAAACGAACATTTTCCTAACAATGGAAAAATCATAGTTATCTTATTGTCGAGGTAAGAGAAAAATAATGGATAGAGCAAAATGTCTACATTAATTTTTTTTTTTTTTTTTAATATATCATTACAATGCAATATTGTAGAGACCTGGTCCGCTTTTGATTTCTTGCTAGAGAAAACATAATGTCTAATGAAAAAATATATAAAATACTTTGATCGGAAATATTTCCTGAAGGTAATAAAAAATGTTAGAAAAAAAAGTATAAGGAAGCTCTTTCGCAACCTTAGTGACTATTTTTTATTAAAATGTATTTATATGACCTTTTTTTTTCATTTTTGACCTTCGATGTTTTTAAGCGTCATATTTATATAACTGTTTGTTACAATGACGGCTATTCATGTAATGTTAAAATAATTAGTGCAATATGCAAAGGACTGAACAAGAAACGATTTAATTAAAAGACCAATTTTGACATGAAAACAAAGTTTTATCTGAATATTTCACATACAAACTGTCTCTTATTCCAAATAATATTTCTTCGTAAAGAATTCAATAAGGCTTCTTTTTCATGTATGTATTTCGGAGTAGAATTTAGTTTTTGGATTGTGATCAGTACTTACGAAAAATCGGTGATATTAGGCAACGCTATCATGACACTTATATTGGAGTCTAGGACCCTTGCTCACATGATTGGTCGTGGTAAAATACATCGAATTTTTCTTTTATTCGTATCGTAATAGTCTCCTATTATTATGTTATCAGAATAAGAAAACAACAATACAAAGAAAACCGTCCGTGTTGTGTGAAGTTTTTTTCTAAACTCAAAAAAATTGTGACAGAGTTTTCTGATACCTTTTTTTCTAAGACTTTTGTGACAGTCAGAAAAGATTTTCTGATTGAATTCTTTTTTTTTTTTTCATTGAACATTACGCTTTCTCGAACAGAAAAAAACAGGACTAATTCACTGCAATACTGCATTAAAATGCTATATCCAAGGAAAACAAAATTAATGCAAAATGCTTGCGCACTCGTTAATGTATTATATATATATATGCATACTTTAATTCCATTGACAAGATCAATGGCACTTCGTCCACGAAACTTATTCCAACTCAAATCAATTGATTCTAATGAGTCGTTACTGCCTAAAAAGATTTAATCGGTAGGTTAGATTTAAACTTTATCAAGAATATATCTTACTTATATATGCACCGAGTGCTTTACCACACTGTTCACCAAAACAATTGTGACTTATATCGAGCTCACGTAATATTTTGTTTTGCTATAAATAAAATAAATTATTAATGGTTTGTATATAAATATTTGAAATCATTTTCTTTTCTTTTCTTTTAATATAGATGGATGAATCAGTCATCATCTTACAATTTGAATGAAATGTTTCAAATCGCGAGAAAAAAATTCATAAGTTTTTTTTTTTTAATATAGTGAATCAAGTCTTATTCATATATAATATATTATTATTATTTATATTCTAAATCATTCTTTTATATGTATTCTGATTTGCATAAGATTAATTTTCCAAAAGTAAATAGAATATAAAACATAAATTTATTTACTTCAAATGTTTCGACTAATTGTGCAATATCAAGTTCATTGAAGTTATTTCCTAGAATAATAATAAATATTCATAGAAAAGAAAAGACATAAATTTCGAAATAAATTTTTTGCATACCTGATAAATTAATTTTTTTTAAATTTCGATTTAATGTTAACAGTCTACATATTTCTTTTGTACCTTCATCACCACCGAGTCGATTATCGGCAAGAGACTATTTTATAATATATTTAGATTCAGTTTTTTCTTCAATCTTTATTACTTACTAATTCTGTAATAGAATCATTTGTTAAAATTAATTGTGTAATATGTTTTGTTGCCTGTTGTTGTAAATAATTACCATCTAACAATAAATGTTCAACACTAAGATTCGTCTATAAACATAAACAAAGAAATATTAAAA